GGAGATTTGAGAGGCCTATGAAACTTAGTTACTCCTGAGACGTGGCTTTTTGACGGTAGGCTCATGCCTTCGGGCTGAAGCCTACCAATAAAGATGGTTACATGTGATTATCATACATTAAGCAGGCGGAGTCCAGGGCATGACAACTGTCATTGGGTTCCCCTACTCTTCACACTAGCTAATTGGGGTTGAAGAGTTTTCTTCCGGTTTTCTTTTTTTTTCTTTTCCATTAAGCTGAGTCATTCCTTTACACTAGCGAGAACACTGAATTTTCTATGTAAAACATGGGGGAGGGGCCACCATCATTGAAGATCAAACCGGTTTCTACTTTCCAGCTAAGGCCTATCATTGTAGCGGTAGTAAATTTTACGCTTGGCATTTGGATAAGGAACAAAGGAAAGTTTGGGGGCATTTCAAAATGATGAAAAAAAGCAGGCTTTTGAAATGCAAAAATATAAATTCTTTTCAAGGAAACAAATTATACAGTAGTGCATAAGAAAATAAAAAAGGCGGAGGGAAGGGCTGAGGTATTAGGAGCATAAAGGAAAACGTTCAATAGATAAAGATTCAGAGCGGTGACTGTCGGGTGCCGTAACCCTCAGATAGAGCCACCCATACAGCCATCAAGGACGAGAGGAAAAAGCCATCTGGCTTCATTGCTCTGACAAAAGTGTACCGGTGTGGCAGAAAGGGTGGGCATGGGGTTGGCAATAGCTCCTCCTTTACACTCAATCCAGATGATTCCACTGCTCACCGCAGAAAAAGTCCCAGTAGGAGACCCAGGATGTGTGATTTTTGACAGATCTATGGTAAGAAGGAACTAGAAGGCAGAGGCAGAGGGGCTGATGCATTATTTACAGCTAAAACTTGAACAGGGCCTACTGCAGGGGTTGGCTCAAAGACTTTCGCCTGTACGGCTGTAGAATAGAGACAGGCATCTTTGAATTCTCCCGATCACTTTTTTTTCCTGCCGGGGAACCCTGCCAGGGCCGGAGCAGCATGCCAGCCTCTCTAACTGTGCTGCCATCTGCCTAGCCCCTTTCACCTTTCCCCCTGGCCTAGAAGAGAGAAACTCCTCCACAGAAAACCACCTAGCCCCCGTAAGGTCAACATTTGTGAGGCTGGCCATCAGGGGCCTCACATGGGTGGTGACAGGTTTGGCGAGCGTTCAGAGGGCAAGACATGCCTACATCCACAGGTGCAAGAACATGCATGCACACCCCCTGGACTCCTGGTGGGTAGGGAGGAGGGACTTGAGGAGTCTGATCCGAAAGGAACAAAGGGTGCTGCCTGTGCAGTGTGCAGTGAGCTGGAGAATGACAGTTAAAAGAACCGGAAGCAAAGTGTGGAAACCCACAGCAAACGCCACCAGAGAGCATATGCATCGGACTTCACAGCTTCCTCCTGTTTCCAGCTTACATTTGCTCCATATGCTGCTCTACACAGCTTTCTGGGGCCATAATGGGTTTTATTCCGTAGTTTTTATACTAACATGAATGACTCACATCTGCTCCAGTACCCAATTTGTTCCCTAATGTCTTTGCCTGTGAGGAGAGAGCGGCTTATGCAGAGCTTACCAGTGACAGCAGTGGCATGAAGAGTCCAAATCCAGGGGGGAGGAAGGTTAGAGGCGCGGATGTGTGAGCTGAGGGGCTCTTTGCAAGAACCTCACGGTACACGGGGGCAAATTGGAGCCCAGAGAAATGAGCTGGCTAAAGAATTGTGGCCACGAGGTACATCTATTTGGGCTAAATGAGAATCCTAATTCAGAGTAGACTTTTTTCCCCTCTCCTTCAATTCCTGCCAAAACCTTTTGCTCAGAGCTTTTCCTCCCCATGTTGACTGTGATGAAAGAACTGTAGTTTGGGTTAGTCACCAATGACACCCCTGTGGATCAACAGAGCACGGCTATTTAAGCTGGGGTACATGCCTGTGTATTTGTGTGTGGATGTGCACATGTATGCAGAGGCCACAGGGTAATAACCTTGGATGTTATTCACAGGTGTCACCCATCTTGTGTTTTTAAGGCAAGGTCTCTCAATGGCCTGGAACTTAGCAAGTGGACTAGCTAGCAGGCTAGTGAACCCTAGGGACTGATCTCTCTCTGCCGCCTCAGCTCTGGGTTTGAGAGTACAGTTTCTTCTCTCTCTCTCTCTCTCTCTCTCTCTCTCTCTCTCTCTCTCTCTCTCTCTCTCTCTCTCTCTCTCCTTCCTTCCTCTTCCCTCCCTCCCTCCCTCCCTCCCTCCCTCCCTCCCCCTTCCTAGTGAGTTCTGCCAATGGGACTCAGAACCTTGTGCTCACAAAGCAACCTCTTTACAGACTGAGCTGTTGCCACATCCCCTAACCTGGTCATTAAACAGCTTTAAATATCTGTCCTAGCTTGGTGGTCTCTAGACACGTTGGATCTCAGGAGAGATCTACAGTGCGGGGACTTGGGAGATTCATCTGCCTTCCAGAAGTTTGTAGACTCACTTGTAATCATGTAATCTATCCCAATTGTAATGGCACTTACTGACCTGACCAGCCTGTCCTTTGGTTGGGTCAGGTGATGGCACTTAGCAAAATTGGATTCTTTAGAACTCTTTCAAGGCCCACGGACTTCTCCATGTGAGAGGAGGACAAAATAATGATTTAAGAGCTTCAGAAGACAATTTCCAGCCTCCCCAGTATTACAGGCCTCTTAGTATGGAGTCGTCTCACCCTGGGGTCTTGGTTTCTCCGTACCGACGCCTAACAGTCTGAATGAGGTACCTCAGCAGCAGGCCTTGTGGGGCTGCACCATCTCAAGAGCTTGGCGGTGGTGTGTAACTGCCTGCCATCTGTTATTCAGAAGCAGCATAGCGAGCAATGGACTCGGTGCTGCAGCGCCTGCCCGCCCGCCCGCCCGCCCGCCTGCCTGCCCGCCCGCCCGCCTGCCTGCCTGCCTGCCTGCCTGCCTGGAGCAACTCCACAGCTTGTTTGGGGATGGGGGTGGGGGTCCCCTGCAGAGCCGACACAGAACACTTTGTAGGCCCAGGACCAGGGGCTTAGGGTGAGGCTCCTGGGAAAGATCCCGGGAGTTCAGAAAGCTGCAGGAGTGGGTGCCTTTGCCACTTCCCAACCCTCCCATCAGCTGTTTACCCTGAAGCATCAACTGGGAAGCAGACCCAACCTTTCAGAGGCTAGGAGTCTAACAAAGACGGAAGTGGGGGACATCAGCAGTCAGCGGGAGTCTGTGCCGCACTCAGCAAACTCAGCTGAGTCTGGCGATGGGCTGGCAAGCTTTTTTCTGGCTGTTTGATCGCCACAGCTGTTTCCAATCCCAAATCTCTTACCTCCAGCCCCTTACCTCCGGGACTCTCCAGGGCCTGCCTTAAGGCTCAAAGACAAGGTGCCCCATCCTGGAGGCTTCGTGTGGGTCCCTCTGTTTCTGAGCATGTGTCTTGAGGGCTCCACAGCATCGGAGGAGGAATTCTGCAGAGCTGATGGACACCTTTCTTACTGGCAGGTGTGGGCGCTGCCCGGGTACCAAGCTCTAGCTCTGTGAGTGAAGATGTAGCTGTACCGCCCCGCCATTCTCACCTGAAGAAACTTGGAGCCAGCCTCCCTCTAAAACGGCGTGGTCACTGCTTCCCAGAAAAATGCCACTGAACTCTCCGGGAAGGCGGATAGATGCCTGGCACTCGGTGTTCCCATCCCTTTTAAGATGAGGAATCTAACAGGGAAGGCATAGGATGCAGTTGTGACTTGCACTGTTGGTGTAGGCAGGCTAGGTTAGGAACCATTCCCTGGTCTAAAATTCCAGCCTAACAAGGCCTGTGTGGAAACTGGGCTCAGAATTTTCCCAGTCTCTAAATCCAAGTGACTTGAATCTGTAACTGGAGGGCATGTTCCCTAAAAACAGCTGGGAAAGGGATTTTGAAAGATACTCCTGTGTACCCAGTGCTCGCACTCCGATGGCCACTTTCCTGTGGTTGCCATAACTTTAGGCCCCCTCTCCAACAAGCCCCAACACTTTACAAGAAGAGAAAACTCCTCAGGGAGACAATTTTGCCTTAATTTTTAAAAGGACATCTTCCAGGTTAAATTTAGACCGGCTCAGTTTTCCATTAAGCTGAGAAAGTTGCCAGGCACCTGCTCAAAGGCAAAGAAATGCCCCGGGGAGATGGCTGAACTTGACCTTGGCCCCGAATGGCCAAGCAAGTGAGCCTGGACTGGAGGCCGCATCTGGGTCAGCCCCGCTACATCCCAGTGTTGGCTGGGGAGGGGACCCTGATGTGAGCACCGCGTGCAGTGCCCCGCAGCGAAGGGGAACTCCTCCGGGGCTGTGCCTCACCTGGCCCGGGCTGGACAGGTCCTTAGGTATCAGCTTGCAGCGGGTGTAGCCTGCATTCCCGTAACCGGTTCCCGCCCCATCCCGCCCCGCACCGCACGGCCCCAGCCCGGGATGGTCCGAGAGCTGCATCCAAGGTCCCTCAACCACACGGTGCTCCTCGGTCGGCGGGAGGCGGTAGCGCCCCCTCTCAGAGTCGGGTTCGCTCCCGCCCGCTCTCCCTCGGAGTCAGTCTGTCTGTCGGGCCCGCCCTCCCTCCGCGCTCCCTCCGCGCTCCCTCCTCCTCGTGCTCCTCCGGGGGTGCCGGGCAGAGCCTCGGATTCCACCTTCCCGGCTGCTCCAGGCAGTTTCCCTCGCGGCGGCCGCGGGCAAAGGCAGCCGCGGCGCGCAGCAGCTTCTCGGCGGCCACCGCGGCTCTCCGGCTGGAGCGGGCGCCCGACTGAGCTGCCCCTCGCTCCTTCCCAGCCGGGTCTCTAGTCTCCGGTGCCCCTCGTCTCTCGGTCCCCGGCTGTGGTTTCTCTCCGAAGCGGGCGGGGCAGGATCCCACCACCCAACATCGGGATCCCGGGAGCAGCGTTTCTCTTAGAGCCAGGCGCTCGGTGACTCGTGCCCCGCCGCCCCTGACCGCCGGGGGGGTGCCCCAGGGACGCGTCGCCGCCGAGAGGAGCTGGCAGGGGGGACCATGCGGCGCCTGACTCGCCGCCTGGCGCTGCCCATCTTCGGGGTGTTCTGGATCACCGTGCTGCTGTTCTTCTGGGTCACCAAGAGGAAGTTGTCGGTGCCGCTGGGACCCGAAGTGCAGACCCCCCAAGGTATGCCGTTTGGTGGCGCGCAGGGCACGGGGCACTGGCCGGTGGGAGGGCGCGCGGTCTACGCGCGGGGTTTGAGGGTTCCAAAGCATGAGGGGTCTGTGTGCTGGGAGCAGGTGAGCAGGTAACAGGCGCGGGATGCGGGCATGGGGAAGTGCTTAAGGGATTTAAGAAGCTCCGGGAGTCTCCAGATCCTTGGCGTGTGTAAGTGGCAGTGGGTCTGGGTGGTGGGCGCGCGCTCGTGGACAGAAAGGAGCTCCCAACTTAAGTAGCAGTCCGGTGGCCGAGGGGGCGCTGCGGACCAGCCACCCTGGGACTGGCGGTCGGTGGCTGCCGCTGGCGGGTCACTGGAGGTTGGCTGGGTGGTAAATGCCCGTCACCCATGAGAAGTCTGGTGGATGCGCGGACCTCCTTCCCCCGCTGCCAGGCCCCGAAGGAGGAGGCAAATGACCCACCGGGGTGCGCTGTGCACGTGAGCTACACTAGCGAGCTCCCTGGAGCCTCCCCAGCAGGTGCCTTCCCTGCCCACTCGGCCTGGCCTGGTGGCGCCTGGCTCAGTAACCTGTTCTCAGCCCGTTTAGCTGCCTTGGAAGTTGAATGCGTTCCGAACATCACGAAGGATCCCGTAGGAGGGGAGTTGGGGAAATGGGAATCCAAGTGGCTTTTCTAACTCTTGTCCTGCAGAGCAGCCCAGAGGAGCAGAAGGTTCCCCCTACAGGTTCACTCTTGAGATTCTGAGCCCTTGTCCTTTCCCACAGCCTTGAAGAGTGGCGACAGAACACGGCCTCTGGGGCATTTGTTGGCATCTAAATAACCTTTATGAGCCCAGGGCAGTCTGTAGGAGTGGGAGAAGGCCTTGGAGGGGAGTTTGTGGTTCAAAAGAGGAAGGTTGATGAACACCACTGTACCGAGTATAGTAGGGAGGGCCTACTGTGTGCTGAATGCATAGTAGGTGCATTCTTCACAAGTAGTTCTTGAATTTTGTTCTTATTTCATAGACAGGGACTTGCCTTACTTAAATCATTTTCGATTTGAACTCAAGTGTCTACATTCAGAATTTTCCCACTTGGATCCTATAAACTCTTCTTTTAACCAAGTTCACTGGCACTCATATTTTGGAATCTTGCCCATGTTAGTTGATCAAAACAAGCAGTTAGTTAGCACCCATATATCCTGGCTATTCGTGAGGTGCCATGGAGTACAGAGGTTCAGGGTTTGCTCCTAGGTGGAGGATGGTTTTGCTCATCTGCAGTACAGGACACCCAGGATTGGCAGCCAGGTGGGTTCACTGCACTGGGTGTCATGATAACCTGGGCTCTCTGGAGGAGGACTCAACAGCTGGGTCTCGAAGGATGGACCAGCGGTCAGTAGGCAGAGGGCATCCCAGGTATGGAATAAGTCATTTGCAGAAACAAGACAGCCTGAAGTCTGGGGGAGGGGGGCTGAGACAGGGACAGCTTGTATGGTTCTGGTCAGGGAGGACTACAGACCTTGGGAGTCTAGGGAAGGGGCTAAGCAGGGAAGGGGCGCCATTGATTGGCGTGTCCATCAGGCAGCCTTTGTAGCTCAGGATCTGTTTTCTCACTGACCATGGATCTGCAGGGTTTTTTCTTCTTTTCCCTGGGTGGTTCTGCTCTGTGTGATGCAGTTAATGATGCCTGCAGGGACATGAACTTTCTCTGCTTTGTGCTGAATCTCATTACCTTAAGCTGACTTATTCTTAGTTTTGCCCCAGGGATCTGGGACAAGAGCTCACTCTCCTTTGGGGGGTGCTCTTGGTCTTTACTCCTACCACCTTTTGTCCTGGTCTGTGCTCAGCACACACCTGGTGACAGCAGGCAGCTGGGTGCCAGGCACTGTGTTAGTTTTGGGTGCTGTTTGATAGGTCTGTCCCTACCTTTGGGTGTGCGCATGCGTAGGGGGGAGTGTTACGCTCTGGGGGAGTCCCTTGCTAATATAGAATCATAAGTGATGTGTGGTCTCATATCAGGTGTCTTCCAACAAGCCTGTTCTTTGCCTGAACATTTACCCACTCCTCATTTTGATATCCTTCTAAAAGTCTCAATTATTCCTTAGGTCTCCCAATCTGACACATTTTATCATTAAGTGTATCCTTCCCCTTTTTTGGTTAGTGTTCTTCTACAACCCATTTTCACTTTTATGTGTGTCTACATCTATGTCTTGTGTATATGTTTATGGATGAACATTCCTCTGGATCTTAGTGTATGTGCCTTAATTAGGCTATGCTTGCTGTGATGAGACGTCATAACCAAAAGCTAATTGAGGAGGAAAGTGTTCACATCAAAGGCGGTCAGGGCAGGAACTCAAACGGCAGGATCGGATGCAGAGGCCATGAAGGAGTCCTGCTTACTGCCTTGCTCCTCATGATTTGCTCAGCCTGCTCTCTTACAGAACCCAGGACCAGCAGCCCAGGGATGGCTCCACCCACAGTGGACTCCCCCATGCATCACTAATTAAGAAAACGCCCTTTGGTAGGTCTTGCTACAGCGCCATCTTCTGGAGGCATTGTCTCAGCTGAGGTTCCCTCCCCTCAGAGGACATTCGTTTGTATCAAGTTGACATAAAACTATCCTCTCACAGTGTGTGTCTCAGGAAAGATGAGACCAGAACAGCTTTATGTCCCATGGTTGATAGAAATTTTGTCTAAAGGAACACAGTATTCTCCCCCAACTTGACTACATGTTAGAATCGCCTGAAGAACTTGACTGGCATAGAGATTCTTGGGCTTATTATAGAGATTATGAGTCTGTTGATTCTGGAGAAGGTCCTAGAATTAATACTTCTGCAAATGTGTCCCATGACTGCAAAGCAGTGCTTGAGAAATAGATGAAGAATGCTAAGTCTGTTGTTTTGCTGCTTTGTGTGAACATGGCCAAATGAGTTGCCTTCTTCATGAGTGTGATCACAATTAAGTCAGTGTGAACCTTTGCCCACAGGAAGCAGTCATCCCTAATGCAGTGCTTTTCCAACTCACAGACTCCATTTCCCATGTTAGCTCATTTAATCTTCCAGAAGCCAACAAGGGAGATAACAACTTTTTTTTTTGCAGATGAGATTAAAAGATGGTATTTAGGAGGAGATAAAAAGGCTTTTCAAGGACAGCATCAGGACAAGAATAGGTTGAGGAATGTTTTAGGGAATGCTCATCTCCTGTTTCTTACTTGATGTTAAATTAGACAGATAGCCTAAGTCTCCACTGAGGTGATTCCCCCAGGCTGGAGGTGTGTACAGTGTGAGCTGCTCATCTACTTTCTAGAGCTTCTCTACCTGTTGAGAGTTTCCAGGTGTGTGTGTATGTGTGTGTGTGTGTAAGCATGTTAGTGTGTGTGTGCAAGCATGTGTGGGCATCTGTATGTCTGTGCAAGCAGGTTTGGGTGTGTGTGTAAGCATGTGTGTGCAAGCATGTTTGTGTGTCTGTAAACAGGTATGTGTGTGTTTACATGTGTGTGCAAGCATGTTTGGGTCCTCACTTTCCACGTTGTTTGAGCTGGGGTTTCCTTTGCTGTTTTTCTGCTGCATAAGCCAGGCTAGCTGGGGTGAGAGGGCCAGGGCTTTCTTCTGTCTCTGCTTCTCTTCTTGCTGTAGGAGTCCTGGGATTTCAGGCTTGGGTTGTCTGTTGTGGCCTGCTTTTACAGGGGTTTTAGGAATTTGAACTTGGGTCCTCATGCTTTCAGGGCACTTGCTTTACCATCAAGCCGAATCCTTTAGCCTGAGGTTGTTTTCTGGACAGTAAGAAAACAGTTGGCACATTTGTCTACCATGGGGTGAAAACTCAGGTTTTGAATGAGTGCAGTACAAAAGGCATTTGTAGGAAACAATTATGCAGTTATGGGGGAAGCCTTTGCCTGGATATTCAGAGGCCTGTGGGAGACTTCCCTCTTGCTGAGGTTTCTCTCCAGTGCAGAGATGGGATGAGGTTGCTCCTCTTTATCGTAAAGCTCTGGTCCACACCCCTGAAGCAAAAGACAAGTTAACAAGAGGAAAGCAAAACAAATTCAATTGATCGTAGCTTTACATGCTGCAGAAGCCTTCAGATTGGAGACCCAAAGACCTGGCGTGTACTGTCAAAGACATCCAGATCTGGTGGAGAATAGGTAGCTATAGAGGACATAGCACTGGAATTCCAATGTAGATTCCAATGCAGGTAAAGGAGCAGAGAAGCAACAAAGACTGTTTAGATCCTTTAAACCTATCCGAGCAGTGTTCTTTCCTCCTGGGTATGGGTAGGACCCTTTATGGAATGAAGGGCTTAGAACTACTATCTGACAAGGTGGGTCAGAGAATTCCTTTATTACCATCACTAACACACAGAGTGTGTTAGATTAATCTTTTGAGGTTTTATGGTTTGCTTTGGCTAAAGAGGAGTCCTAGTGTTATGTGCTCACCCAAGGGAAGAGAGATTTCAGGTTCTTGGCCTTGCCCTTGGCAGAGAACTGGGGCCAGGGAACAGGAGGAAATGAGACCTTACTTCTAAAACCGTCACTTGGGTCTCCAAAAGCTCCAATACCAGCATGGTGGTGGGAGTCAGCTTATTTCTAAAGTGAGAGCAGTGGGCTCCTTCCTGTGTGTCTTCAGAGAAGTTGAGAGTGCAGCTATGGGAGAGGGCTTCTGGGCTGGAGACTCTGTGTGGTCAAGGCTTTCAGGTCCTCGCTGTCTCCTCACTGTGTCACAAAATGTCCCCATCCTCCTAGTGATGATGTCTTCACAGCAGGCCTGATATAACCCCCTGCTCAGTGCGTCACAGTCTGAGCGATGTGGACAAGGACAAGATGTCCTGCAGGCCTGGTTAAATAAAGCAGTTGGATCTTTTTCTTAGTTCCATGAAAGGGGTGGTTCTAGGAGCTGGGCTGATAACTCACTGAAGTGCCTGCCTGCTCGCTGCTCAAGTACGAGGATGTCTGTGCCCTACACCCACATAGCAGGGCAGGCTCGGTAGTGTACTCGTAATCCCAGCTCTGCAGGGGCGGGGGCAGGATTCCTAACCCAATCAGCAAGTTCTCAGCCAGTGAAAGACCTTGTCTCAAAGAACAAAGTTGGGGTTGGAGAGATGGCTCTGATGGTGAAGTGCATGAGGACCTGGGTTTGCCTCATCAGCATTTACCTAAAAAGATAAAAGGCCTGCTGTGGAGCATGCATCCAGAATCCCAGATGTCAGGAGGCGGAGATGGGCCAACCCTCGGTGCTCACTGTTCAGGTAGTCTAGCCAAGCTGTGAGCTCAGGCTCCAGCAACGGAGCCTGTCTCAAGAGCTAAGGTGGAGAGTGACTGTGGAAGATACCTGGCGTCTACCTTTGACATCCACATGTGTGCACATACATGTGCACATGTGTACACTCTCACATAAACATGTACGTAACACACACACACATGCACAAACATACACACCCTCTTATAAAAACAAGGTGGGTAGCTTCTTCGAGGTGACATCTGAGGTTGGTCTAGGGCTCTACACTCATGCACACATACATGCACACACTCATGCATACACACATACATGCACACACTCATGCATACACACATACATGCACACACTCATGCATACACACATTCACGTGCTCACACTCATGCATATACACAAGCACGTGCACACACGTGCACAGATAAGAAAGGCTGGCTCTGCTAACAGCTCAAGTAAAGATTTCTAAACTTGACTTTTCCATGTTGATGTGATTTTAATGCTGGCTCTCTACCCCAAATTATTCATCAAATCTTTAATTTCTAATTGGAAGCCATGTGACAAGTTTGATGTTTTATTCAAACTGTATTTTCATGATAAATACCATATCACTTAAAAAGACCCGAAAAAGGCGTGTTCATTTCTCTTCTGTCATTTGTTTGCCATTTGGAAAAGTATATAATAACTGACAGATTTTTTTAAAGAGCAAAGTTTTTTTTGTCTCTTATTTCCAAGAAACTAAATTTAGTCTAAAGGCTTAGTAAGAGCAAGAGTTTCAGGCTGGAGGGTAATTTTTGAGGGAGGTATTTGCATACCCCGAAGCACCTTAACCATACAGTACTGTTGTTTTATTTCCCATTCAGTAGTTAATTTCTCCAATAAAAAAAAGAGTTGTGAATTTTACAGAAGACCACTATTAATCTAGTGACGGTAAGTATGGGCGCATTGGATTCTGTCCAGGGAATTCTGGCTGTGGTGTCACCAGAGGCGGTCTATTGTCAGATGCGAGTCTGCCCTCCTATCCGCTGTGCCAGCTTCCCTTCTGAGGCCATCTTCCTTCGAGCCGGGTGTCCACCAGGGTGCCATCTGCAGGTAGCCTGCTTCCCGTGGCAGGCTTGCACACATGCCATGTAGGAGGCTGGAATCTTAGGAAATGACTTGCTTTTACTTTCTAGAGGAAGCTTTTTAACTTTTTAAGAATGTATTTCATGTATTTAAAAGTTTGCCTCCTGTGCTATCACCTTTGTGAGAAATTTGCCCTGGCTCATTTTCGGCCCACTCTGAGTGGATCCCTGACCCAGAGACTTTTGCAAAGCCCATTTGTTTGGTCCTCAAAACCGGGTTTGACTCCCTTTTGCTTTCCTGGGTCTCTTTACCCCAGCTCCAGGTAGGAAGCCCTGTCTCAGGACCCAGGAGTCTGGGCACTAGGGATGTCTCTGAGTTACCCTGGGGAGGATGGCATTTTTCAAAACAAAGACCAATAGTTCAATTTCACCCTCCCTTCCCTGGAAGCACAGACTTATACCTGCTCAAGTCAGGGAATTCACGGGTAGTGGGGTGGGGGTGGGGGGTGCAAAGCAGGCCGGAAGTCAATGGAGTGCCTCTCTGTGTGTTCAGAAGGTGAGCTTCTTCAGGGCTGCCTGTCCCTCCAAAACACTCAGCTGCTCACTTCTGTTCCTCAGAGGTCATTTGTAAACCAAGTTGGGGCAGAAGAAGCCGCTGTCTGCCAATGCCTAAAGCTCAGGAGTCTGCCAACCTGCTCTCCTTGCTACAGCCCACCATCCCAAACTTCCAAGAGTCTCACCCTTCATCAGGCTCCCAGGAACCAGTTTTGTAGAGACACGTTTTGTGTGCCTTTGTTTGATTTCCAGCGTTTGCAGTTTTGTCACTCATCCAAAGTGTCGCCAATTCCCTGATGTGTTTTTGGAAAATAATCTGAATTTGAAAGCAGGGATGGTTTCTCAGCTCTGCTCTTAGAGGGAGAGCATGAACCCTGCCATGGCTTCTGCACACCTACTCCAGAGACCCAGAATGAGTCTGGCCATCTGTTTGGGGAAGTGAGTCTGATGTGTCCTGTGCCCTCTGCCGCTGGCAGCTGGTTCTTCCCACGCCTGAGCTATCCTGAACTAGGTGTGAGTTTCCCCTTCTGCAGCCCCAGGAACTTCATGAGAGTCAGGTGATAAATTCTGGCTCACCTTAGAGACCCCCCCCCCCCCGTTGTGCCAAAATTAGGTATGGCTTTACTTATGCCCAGGGCAGCCTGGCACTGCCTCTGGTAGTGCCAGGACTAACTCAGCTCACTGGCTCACCCGCCTCGGCTGTGAACTGGGAACAGTACACCACAGCAAAGACGATGCCCTGTCATTCCACCTGCAATGAGAGTTAATTAAGGTTAGTTTTGAGTAACTCTGAAGGGAAACCCTATGGCTATACATAGTGTGTGTGTGTGTGTGTGTGTGTGTGAAGGCCAGAGGTGGACATCAGTCATCAGTGTGTCTTTCTTAATTGCTCTCCATCTTTCTTTTGGAAACTGGATCCAGCAAGACTAGCAGACCAGCAAGCCCCAGGGAGCTTTCTGTTTCTCCCTCCCCAGCGCTGTGATTACAAGAGCATGCAGCAGTGCCTCTGCTTTTCGCTTGGGTCCTAGGGGTCCAAACTTGGGTCCTCATGCTTGTGAGGCGAGCATTTATTCCCCAGCTTCCATTACTTATCTTTTATTTACTTTACCAAATTGCTAGGCTAACCAAAAAAATAAATCAGTCTCTGAGTCTTCAGATGTTGAACTGATTAAGAAAGAACCCTTGGGGTAATAAGGAACCCGTGTTCCCTCTCCCCCTCCCCCATTCTCTCTCTCTCTCTCTCTCTCTCTCTCTCTCTCTCTCTCTCTCTCTCTCTTACACACACACACACACATACACACTGCCACACACATTCGCTCACTTACATAGATGTGCGCACATGCTAGTGCCCTGGGGAGTTCTGTAGGAGCTCCTGAAATTTGCTGGCTCTAGTATTTCCGAATAAGCGGCCCGAAATGACCTAGGGTAGCTGGCTTTGCATCTGGCAGTAGCCTCTGCTGTCACAGGACCTAATGAGCTCTAGGAAGCTGCTGGGGAGGGACAGAGAGGAGATGGTAACTATGAGAAATGTTGCTGCTACCCTGGGTGCCCTCTTCCCGTGCTCCATCACATCCTTTTGCACCCCCCCCCCCGCCCCCGAAATGCTAGTCATTTTCTAAGGTGGAGAGCCCGGGGTAGTGATCTGCACGGATGCTTCATTTGATCCTTACAGCACTGAGAGAGAAGTCTGGAGAACAGTGGCCGCCCTGGGTCCCGTGCTCTGCAAGAGCCGTCTACTTCCCCACAGGCTCCAAGGTCAGGGACAGCCTGCCACTGTGGTTCTTGGAGCCACGAGACCACTCTGCGCTCAGAGGCGGTTCTTTCTGAAGGAAGGGGGTCCAGCTTTGGGCCACTTTGAGCCATTCAGCCTTCAGTCAGCAGGAGCGCTTATCTCCGGAAATGAGAGAAGTCTGATCCCCAGCTTCCTCTACAATGCTGATTTCAAGTTCAAAGCCTTTTCGGCGTGCCATTTCCTGGAGACACGATCTGCCACTTAAAAAATAATAATTAAACTCTCCTCGAGTCTCCAGCCTTCCTCACTATAAGCCCTTCAGCGATCTTCCAGGGAAACTCAGGCAAACAGAGCATGCGCGCATGTTCCTGGCAGTGGCCTTGAAGATCCCTGGAAGAGTGCAGCTGGTCTCCACAGCCGGCTTGCTCAGGATCCCGCTGGTCACGCCCACTTTGTATCTTACTCAAGGACAGGTGGGAATGGGGAACATCTACAGGAGAGATTGGGGCGTCCCATCTCGACCACTTCCCTCCATAGGTCGTCTCTGCCCTCAATGGAGATGTGGAAGTTAAAACAATTGCCCCTTTGGTTGTCAGGGCTGAAGATTTAAGTAGCAGCTCTTAACTCCCTTGACGACATTCTATCCGTTCCTGATCTCTCTCTGCTCCCCAGCCACAGAGAGACTGGCCCAATCAATATTTATGTGCCCATCACTTGCAGCTGCAATGTGTAGGCAATAATGGCTGCCAGATTCCTTGATGGCCATTGAAATATTCACGGTGCCTGTATTGGAGGCCCATTGTTTCCCCGGGATCTAGGGAAGAGCAGACCATGTGATGCAAGGATTAATTAAGCCTCTCAGATAATTGGCTATTAATAGATGGCCAATTGATGACTGCCAGCTGGGTGCTGAGTTGACTAATGTCCTTATGGTGGGCAGGTGGTTGACTTCAGAAGAGAAACAGGCTGGAAGACCTGACTAATTAACGACAGAATCAAGAAAAGACGGCCAAGAGGAGCTCCTCTGCCCCCCCCCCTTCCTGTGATATCTTACAGTTTACAAAGCATTGATCTGCACGGATGCCTCATTTGATCCTTACAGCACCCCTGTGAGAGGGATCTTACTCCTATCCTCTGTTTCTGAGGGAGGAGAAATGGGAGGTTATACAGGGAGGGGACTTGGGCAAGCTTGTCTAGCTGCTCCTATAATGGACACGCTCAACATCTGGTTCGATTCTTTTCCCAGGGAAAAATGAAATATGTGCTGTCTGCGTGTGTCAGTTACGTGTGTATTCTTGTTTATCAGCATAGCTTTTCTACCTACAGAAGGGACCTGGCACACTAACTAAGGGAATGCAACGTTTGTCCCTGGGGGAGCTGTGGAGGGTCCAGAGGCCACCCTGCCCGTGATGTGGGAGGATACAGAACCGAAACTGCAGACTTTGTGTGCGATGTGGAGCGAGTGTGTCCTGCACAGTAACCTCCGATCCAAACTTAGATAGTTGCGTTGGCCTCATTTGGGGACCCCGTGCTTGCTCCCCCATCCACTGCCCCTCCATGCCTGCACTGTCTGCCCGTGGGAAACAAGTCTCTGCTGCCCTCCCTAAAGTTGCCTTGCCGCGGAAGTCAGCAGGGCCGCAGAATCAAGACAGACTGCCTACCCTTGCTTTGACCCCTTTCTTGATGAACACAGCCATTGAAACAATCCCCCTTCTAAGGGGGAAAAATGTAATTTGAGAGAACTGAACGCAACCTGTTTGCAAGGCCAGGCAGGTGCAGATAGATGACTCCACGGGACATCTAGCATCCCCTTAGCTCCTGCCTTCTCTGCTGCAGGGGACCCTACTTTGTGTCTGTTTATACAAATTAGACCACAAAGGTTAGTCTGGAAGGTGAGCTGATGACTACTTCATCTGGCCTGGCAGATGGACGGCTGGTTCCCTACCTACTCCAGGCTGCCTTGGAAGCATGGGTCATGCATATCAGTCCCTAAGCCCTGCAAAGCATAAGGGAAAGCCACTTACTCTCTTCTTGGCATTCTGTCTATGCGTCAGGTGAACTATCAAAAGACTCAGGGTGAAAGCCACTTACTCTCTTCTTGGCATTCTGTCTATGCGTCAGGTGAACTATCAAAAGACTCAGGGTGGTGCTTTTGCTCCAGTCCTAATGACAAGGTCAAGTGGGTGCTCTGCTCCAAGATCCAAAACTGAAACATGACCTTCTCACTCTCATGCATTTCTGTCTCCTCAGCATGGCAGCATTTAAGGGTGTTGTATTTTTAAAAGATCTACACAGAGTGTGAATAGATTGTCTTGAACTTTCTCCCTCTACTCAGACACCCTAATGGCTTGGTAGATGTTTGTTCAGTTCTCTGAAAATCTCCCTGCTGCGCTTCAGACTGGGATAATGGTTTCTGTTGTGCTTCCTCTGAAAGCTGCTTGTCATGGTCTGCTACAGTTGAACATGTGTGTGTACCTATGACCCTGCAATCTCAAACGTGGTCTAATAAGCCCAACACAAATGCACATGCACAACTTGCCATATACCCAAACTATAGTAGGCATACTTCTTTTTTCTTTTTTTTGTTTTTTTTTTTTTGGTTTTTCCAGACAGGGTTTCTCTGTGGCTTTGGAGGCTGTCCTGGAACTAGCTCTTGTAGACCAGGCTGGCCTCGAACTCACAGAGTCCACCTGCCTCTGCCTCCCAAGTGCTGGGATTAAAGGCATGTGCCACCAACGCCCGGCTTATTTTTTCTTTTACAGGTTATATGCAGTTGTTAAACTCTGTAGTTGTAGTATGAAGTCTGATATGTAAATGAGTGGGTGTGGCTGTATTCCAATAAAACTGCAATTAAAATTTCATGTATTTTTCATGTCTAATTTCTTCTGTTGGTAACATTTTCAGATATTTATGAATGTAAAAAAATCCATTCTGTGCATAGGGCAGCCTAAACCAGGTGACAGGTCACATTGGACCTGCACACCCACTGGGATTCTACTTGTTTGAGAATACCAAAGCTAGTCTCTCATGTTCAACATTAGTGTCATGGTTGACCCATGGTGAGGTTCATGGCTAGAAGGGGGTTGGAGCACTTTGGGAGGATCTGGGGACATTCAGGTTTCTGACCTGAGGGGTTGTTCCAGGGCATAGTCTACCTTATGAAAATTTACTGGATTCATATTCCTTTCCTTTTGTTTCTTCTGCTTCTGCAGAAGGTTCAAAAGGAAAAGCATCTGAACTGAGCATGGCTGGAGTGTGACTTCAGGTCTTAACGTCTCGTTTAGGGGGCAGAACCCAGCAGCAGTCTCACTTCTTTTTATAGCCACTGTTCTCTGATCTCAGAATAAGGCAGCCTTTGGAGAAAGGTGTTGGCTGGACTTTGTGGTTTCCTAAATTCTGCTCCCTTTTGTAGAGAGAGATATTTAACAAGTGGTGTGGGCGATTCCTAGTCAGTAGAAGTGTGTGCTGAGTGTCCACCTATTTGCTGCTGGATCAGAAGAGTAAAGGGTTCCTAGGGGAGAACAGGGGTGGCAGAGGACATCTAGGATACTGAGCACTGTGAGTAGGGCTTTGGCGGGTGCAGGTGTCCTATAGTACAGCCAGCCCAAAACGCACCTGTGCTTATAGGTAAAGGGTAAGGGCTCATTTAAAGGACGTGCAATTGTACAGCACAGTACGCCATATAGAAGATGGGGCTCTTTTCTGCTTTTGAGACAATAGGCAGGGAAGCAAGTTGATGATCTGGTTACTGTTGGATGCTCTCTGGGTTACCCCTCTGTTGTGTAAGACCCGTGGGCATCATTACTTTTGTTTTTCAGAAGAGCATCCAGTCATCCGAAGCAGTATAGGCCTGTACTCTTAGCCCTTGGGAGGCTGAGGCAAGGGGATTGCTGTGACTTCAAGACCTACATAGTATCTGTTACTGACCCACTCAAGGTCAGGCTCCTACAAGCAAGCAGAGAACAGAAATACCAAACCAGACTCCTCCAGAGTTCCCTCCCCTTTCTGTTGAGCCTTCTTTCTGCTTCACCACGCTGACCCCAGACTTCCCTCTCTCCAGGCACACCTATTCTGACCTCCTGAAAGTGAGAATTTAGGAGTGGCAGGCAGTCTCAAGCCCGCACTTACCCTATATCCCAGATTTCCACATGTCTTGATAAGACCATAAACTTTTGAGCAAGATAGTATTGTATCAGAAGCTATCTCTTCCAGGATGAGTTATTTTAGGGCAATATTTGAGGCAAAAACTTTACAGTGGTTTTAGAAAGAAATATGTTGGGTTTTCCTACCACTCCTCTGCGGAGCTCCGAGAGTGTTTCTGCTCCCAGGCTTAACCTTTCAAAAAGCAAGTCTCTGAAGTCTCGCATCCTCGAGCTTGCTAAGGTGCTTCAAAAGCATCTCAGGATTGATTACAGGGGGAACGGCGAGGAATTAGTCAACAGATGCTCAAGATACAAAGGCTGCAGTCAATGGCTTAAAAAACTCCCAGCATCACCCCTCAGAGAGGAATCGTCCTATATCTAGCATAATAACACCAATTATTTGGTTGTTTGTGCTGAGAAGTTGAAAGCTATCGTGTGCCGGGGAAAATACTCAGCATGGAGCAGTAATTATAGATCAGCTGACAATAGAAGACGCAGTGGTTTGACTGCTAATTAGATTATTAGCACTCAAAACAAATACCTGCTATTAACCATAAATGAACTGTGTTTATGAGATCCTCTCCTTCTTTCTATACTTACTTCTTTTTATAGTGTGCTATTTCCTTTCTCCTACCTATGCCCCGACTCCCCA